ATAAAACCTAAGATTATAATTTATAAATAATATAATTTTTTCATATTACAGACATTTTAAATTCAAATTTAGCCTAAATTATAAATTTAAACGAAGGATGACGATAATAGTTATTTCGTTGTAGATAATTCAAAATATTACTTGTGKGGATTTTTTCGTAAATTATGAATTTTACTATACCTTTTCAATTGTATTTTCAATATGATTAGTTTAATTTTAAGCTATTACCTATTTATTCCCGGAGTCGGTAAATTGACAGCAAAACCAATATTCTTAATCATACCAATATTGATACAATTATATTGACAGCTCTAAGTCTGAAAAATGAGAAGGAAAATACTGATTTTAATATTATTGATAAAAAATATTTGGGTACGTAATAAAAATTATACCCATGCCGCAATTTACGTATATATAAAATACATATAGCCAGGCCGCAATTTACGTGTGTGTAAAATATGCCCGGGCCGCAATTTACATAAAAAATTAAAAATGGGCCGCAATTTACAGCGACCCTTTATTCCATATAATAGCATTAATGTACAATTTTATTATATTTATATAGGTGCTAACACTAACAAAACTTAAGTTTACTTTTTTGAGTCATCGAAGTTAATTCGGAATACAACTTAAACCGATCAATTCGTTGCAAGTAGTTGTGGAGAATGGAGCTCAGGGAAGTCACGACCAGTAAATTAAATTCTACGTCTCAAACCCAATCACCAAGGTTAATCGACAGAATTATCCGTTTGAAAACTATATATTGGAACAGAGAATTTGCAATAGTTATGCTCACGTTTATAGGTAAATCACAAAATGTTTTGATAAAAATGGACCCCACTGACTATACGCCTAAAAAATATAATAATAATTCGTAAAATGTACACTGTATCTTATGTACCTACATACGAGTAGGTACCATATAGTAGACAGATTGGCAATATTTTAATGGTTATTCGTTAATGATGTTCTTTTTGAAAAAAAAATACAGGATCTTACATAATCTGAATTTTGTGTTTTATGCCTAATCAAGTTACCAACCTATTACATATTATCAACGACCAATATTATAGTTGTGTTATAACTCATTAATTGTAATTATATATATTATATTTCTCTGTTTGTGTATTTTGAATTCAACACTAGTCATAAAGTTAAGTAAAATTATTGTTTTATATAGGTTTATATATTCAAAAATATCAATGTCATTCATTAATTTGGAGTATACTTGAGTATCAAGAAATACATGATGAAGTAAGTGCCTAGTGGCTACCACCTATTATATCTAATTACAGTAATTAGTGCCGAAACTGTTGGGTCTAAAAATCCAAATAGTTATCAAATTTAATATTTTTGTCTGGCACTGCTGAGCGTATGAAAGAAATTGGTAAATAATTACTTWTTTGTCACGTCTGCACGAAAGTATAGTTTTCGATGAAGGTTGGAGCGTTGGAAAGCAACATTCTTCAATTCAGCAGGTGATTAGGTGGGAATCATCATAGCTCCGAGTAAAAATCCCTGTAAAAAAAGAACAACCAAACACTGAAGCCTATCCATGACTCATACAAAACATACACTTTTAGTTACTCTTTATCTTATATTCATATTATAATTTCCTTTTGCTTGTGGCGTTAATACTTTTCTTTCATGAAATTGTTTTCATTGAATAGTCTAGTTGTTGCAATTCCTGATTACGAATGGGGTCTAGGGAAGGCATGGTCCCGAAGCCCATTGATTTTGGAGAACCACCTTCATTTCTGAATTACTTTTTGTATGCGTTCAAAACTGTTTTCAAAAGAATAAAAGAATATTTTAGTAGGTATATAGGAATTATAAAATAAAAATGTTCCTAATTTTATATCACGAATAATTACTAAATTAAAATAAGTATTAAATTGATAACAATTTGATGAAGTTTATAAAATGAGAGTTGTGAACTACATTTTATGCATAGATTATAGACTTTATATTTTCTATGATTAATGGTTGTTAGTGGTAATATAGTGCAAAATTATAAAATTATGTATACTGTTGTAAAAAATAATGTAGTGATACAATTTTTTTGAAGTTTAAGTTGAAAGGACGGAGTCCACTAAGTTTTTGATGTCTCATGACTCAATCGATCATTAATCTGGGATTGGTTTGTTGCATAGATCTCTGTATTATCTTTGCCGTGATAGATGAACGTTATTGAGGCATGACAAAAAAATGGAATACTTACATGTGGCTTGTGCTTTAGCTAAGCTTACTTCTTGCCTTTTCCACATATATGTAAAAATTTGGGGGTTAGCCAAAAAAAAAATCTAGGGCAACATATAATTTTAAAGATCTATATTTTAAATATGTACAGTTT